CCATTGGTATGAGCAAGAAGATCGAGGTGGAGTTTGACACTTCTATCAATTATTCGAGGGGTCTTCTGAGGGGTGTTCATTCAAGCATTCAGGAGCCTTCCAAGGGAGCATCACTGGGAGGTAATAGGTATGTGGTTTCCACAGTTGGGGATTGTTCTAGGCATTGGTGGATTGCAACCAAGTCCCGTTGGTGTGAAGTCCTAGAAGCCCACAACAGATGGAGAAAGTATGTTGATAGAAAGGTAACCCGACGTTCTGATTATGGTAGGGGTTCTTTCTTACGTTTGTACCGAGCTCACGGCAATTGGAGACACTTCATTGGTGTGGAAACTTTAAGGCGACGTGATGAGATGGCAGATTTTGGGAGCTGTTCCTTTCTGGAGGAGGATTAGCGTTTGATATCGAGTATTGGCATTGGTGTGCGGGCTACGACATGTTTGGGCCATCTTATGTATAGTTTGTCGACTGCTGCATGTAGAGATTTTGGATCTGATGGAGCTGCTTTAGATTTTGGATTGCATCGGATGTTTGGCTACTCAGCACTTGGTCACATCGTGGATGTGAGGTTTGATCCGATAGCACATTTGGGAGTCAGAGGCGTGTTTGATTATCATGTATTGGCTTCTGACTTTGTTCTGAGTAGGTATGTCACGTTTGACTCTCGACAGGTGGAGAGTGGTGATCAAATCTTTGGGACATCTTAGCGGGTGGAGAGTGATGCTACTCTACGTTGGGTGGAGACTCCAGATCATACTGCACCATTTAGGATTCTAGCTAATATGATACAGATTAGGAATCGTGTTGATTTGGATGCAGATGATAGGTTGATTAATTCGAGTGCAGCTGATTATTAGAGTCTGGATATGGCCATTGGTTCATCACAGGTGGAGATGTTTGGATTGTTTCAGTTTGGGACCATTGGAGGTGCTATTAGCCGTAGACTTGATCGTGATGTTGGAGAAGGATTGCGAACTCTTCTAGTGGATTGAAACCTTTGGAGGCCATTTGAATGAACTACGCGCGGCTTTATCCCTTGGGAGAGGAGGTACGTAGGCAACCACATTGGTGCAGCCGAATTTGGTGAAACGACGCATTGGTGCTCATGTTGGTGTCGGCTCAGTTTTGGGAATACTTCACCAAGGTGGAGAATTGTTGGATAGCAGTATTCCTAATCTATTAGGATTCCTAATCTATTTTGGTAACATGAGGTTATTAGGATTCCTAATCTATTTTGGTAACATGAGGTTATTAGGATTCCTAATTTGTTTTGTTTTTGGTTTTAGGATTCCTAGTCTGTTTTGGTTTTAGTTTTTCTATATATATGGAGATTAGAATCAATCATAAAAAGAGAGGAGAGTTATAATCAGAGGTTAGAGAGACTTTTGAGCATTAAGAGAGGGAGATATTGTGAGCAAGTTGAGAGCTTTGGTTGAGGGTTAGTTTGTGAGTTTTGTGAGATTGTAACCCTTTGTACTCTCATTGATTTAGTGGAATCTCCCCATCCTCTCCCCGTGGACGTAGGCAATTGCCGAACCACGTAAATCTCTTGTGTTATTTGGTGATTGTGCTTGTGTATTTTGGTTGTGATCTCTCTTGTTTAACCACGTAAATCTCTTGTGTTATTTGGTGATTGTGCTTGTGTATTTTGGTTGTGATCTCTCTTGTTTGTCTTGTGTGTGATTCGACCGCTTTCGCCGCGCACAACAAGAAGTGTAAAGTGGCGTGTTTTGATGTGTAAGTTGTAAGGAATTTTCAGTTAACTATCATCTTATGAAAGTGGTTAGGATCTTTTATTGCTGATGTGCAACATATTTTCGTCTTGAATGGTTGTAAGCTTTGTTGTGATGAATTATTAAATTTGACATTAATTATTAAATCTGATATTTTGTGATAGATGTATTGTCTCTATAGTATTTTTTATGAATGTCAATTGTAACAGAAATTTTTTTTCTCATATTTGTGAATAGAAATGTGATGGATTTGCAATAGAAAAAATCCATGCAATTTATCAGTGACAGAATTCCGTCGCTAACATCGGTCACAAATACTTAGCTATAGAATTTTGGAATCAACATTTGTGACAAAAAAGTTCCTCACTGTTCCGTTGCTAATTGTATAAATGACAACAGATTTATTTTTGATCGCAATAGGTTGGCTTTAGCAACAGAGGATACACCAATGGAGATGTTGCGATGAAAATCCATTGCTGTTAGTTTTGTGATGGAATTCTACATATCTGTGTTTGGTTTGTTTTGTGTCATATTTTTGTGAATTGTACTCGTATTTGGTTTGGTTTTTTCTTCTCTCATCGCTCACTGACTCGTTTGGTTGTCAAGCACGCTTCCGCACGGCGCGCAACAATGATTTCCCCAGAAGCAAATAACATTGATAACTGATGAGCCCATTCTTCGGTGAACATCAACCATGTTGCTTATGTCTTCATCATTTAAAATGTTTGATAAGACATTGGGATTACTTTGCACTATGTAATTTATCACCAATGTCTCATATCTGATGTACAGTCTTTCAGAAACATCAAACTTTAACCCAACAAAATTTGGTTCCATATTCAAGTTTGTAGTTTCCAAGGGGGCTCCTGGGTAGGGAAACCTATTATCAGGCGCCCAAGTTGCGACGAGGCAAGGGGCCAAGTGCTAGCCCTCCTAATTTATCTGTCATCTCCCAACCTCGTCCCTTCCACCTCTGCAGACTGTCTAGATTATCCTTCTTGGTCGATATTAGCCTCCAAATCTTTCACTGTCAAATCTCTCCATCACACATTAGCTGATGGTGGGATGCGATACAAGCACCTCTCTATCATCTGGAATAATATGCTGCCTAGCAAAGTTCAAATTTTCTTCTGGCTCCTTAGTTCTCTTAGACTGAAGATCAAAGCCAGACTAGCCTCTCAAGGATGGTTAGCCGACTCATGCTGTATTTTTTGCCCAGAGCAAGAAACTCATGACCATCTCTTCACATCATGTAACCTGACTCAACTCATCTGGGCTCCATTTCTCCTCAAATTAGGAATTGGCTCCCTTCCTGCTAACATCAACCAGTGTTTAACAGTCTGCTCTGACCCATCCATCCATGCCTCCGTTCGTCTTTTATGGGGTATCTGTTTCCCAACCATTAGCTGGGTCCTGTGGAAAGCAAGAAACAACCTCCTCTTCTCTAACCTCATGTCTTCCCCTCATCAAATCATCAAGAAGTTTGTTAACTTCATTCTTTCTTGGTCAGGGGCCTCTAACTCCAAGAAGACGCTCAAGATGAAGAAGCTCATTCACGACGCTGGACTTCCAGATATCCTAGAGTCCAGCGAGGACAACAATATGATGCCTTGACCCCCCGATGTCATCCGCTTAAGCTATCAGTATGGGTCGTTGTGGTTTCCATTTCTTTGGTTTGTAGTTAGTAATTTAGTTTTTGGTGTTTTTTGATGTTTACCTCCAAGACATCTCCTTCTGATTGGGCCTTTTTCTCCATCTTGGAGATGTGGCCTTAATAAGCAGCAGATATCTTCTTTTGTATGCACATCTTATTTTGGCTATCAGTAATCTATTGATAGGGAAATCCCTATTTTCACTCAAAAAATAGTTTGTAGATCATTGCGTTTCCTCTCTTCGATGAAATCACGCAGAGGAATCCACCTTCGTTAGCCATGAAAAGAAATTGGAAATCACAAAAATAATAGAGAGAGAAGAAGAAGAAGTTGGTGAAAGATGAAAGCTTAATTGAGAAATATAGTAGCTTTTGAGGGAAAATAAGGTATTTCCCCTCCAAACAGAAATTCTCCAACTGCATAATCGGAGTGATGTATATATTATCTTTCGTATCCAAACTTTGCTGCCTTTTATGTTTTCTCCGGGGGAAAAAAAAGAATTTTGCGAGCTATTGAATCGGAAAGAATATATCATCCAAGGAGTATTTTCGGGTTTCCAAAATATACGGTATCGCATCAGCATACTGCATACACTGGTGGGGACAAGGATACAATTGTTTCAGATTTAAAGTCCAGTGGGTTTTGGGTGTTTGACTTGTCAACCGGGAGGTGAAGACATATATAACTTACTTTGCATTGGGGGAAACAATTTTCCCATAAAGTTTAGCTTCCATAGCAAAAGCTCATTGCGACCCGTTTAAAGAAGCAATCGATACTAGCTACAGTTGTTTAAGTTGAAACACTAGTTTTAACCAATTTGTTTGTGGACTGTGAGCCACCCATTCGTGCATCCTATTCAAGTTTTCCTAGAAGGGTTAATTGTGAATAGACCCAATGTACTCACTATGTAGTTCTATATTTGCAAATAGGCCCTTTGAGTGAACTTTTTTTTGACTCATCAAAAGAAATTGACTCAAAGATTCATCTGCTTTTTAGCGAATATTACGTGAGGTCTATTTGCACCAATAGAGCTATAGTCTGTCTATCCGTACTTAGGGGTGAGCACTAGATTAGGTTGGTTTACGAGTCTGTTCGCTCGTTCCGCATTTTGGCCCAGCCTGACTTGTTTCAGTGTGAGATGGGCTGTTCTCTACCTGCTAATCGAGTGCGTACACTTATAGATGGACCGTCCCACTCATCTCGGCCCGTTGGACCTGAAATTTGACATTAGTATTCTCCTCAGGTATGATAATAGTTTTTTGAACATGAATCTGCATAATTTATGAGCTACTTGAACTGAAATTTGAGCATAGGCGAGCAAAAATATGTATATTTTGAAAGGATTAACATAACTTAGTTAATTTTATAAAACTATTTATTAAATTATTGGTCCACATGTTCATAAACCTATTAATAATTTTTTATTTTTTATAATTATTGCAGAGTCAGTTTTCTATTTAAACATAATTTTAAGTGCTAAAACTACTTAATAAATTTAATAATTAGAAAATAAAACAAAAGGCAAAAAAACTACGTGTAATAGGTGGGCCGGCGCGTGGCGCCGTTCCCATGCAGGCAAGCGGGCTGAGTTGAGCCTCCGCTATGCTCGCTGCGAGCTATCTCGCGACTGAGCCCGCACGGGCCAGCTCGGCCTGGTGCCTACCTCTCCCTGCACTTAACCCTTCTAGAAAGTTATCAGAGCCCCCAGATTTTGCGCTCGAGCGGGTTCCGGATCCAACGGAGCTCAACCCGACCCGGCTCATCGCCAGGCCGTTCATTCTTGCCCCTTGCTCTACACCGCCGAAATTCACAGAAGAGTCCGATCTCGTCGCTGCTTGTAATCCGCCAGGTTAATCCTCTATCTGCAGTTACAGATCCTAAAATTTTATCAAGTTTAGATTTCTCTTCGAATTCTCTGGCTATCTCAGTAAATTCTTAGGTACGTAAAAAAATTTGGATCGCTGGTTCTTGCATTTGATATTGCTAACTGACAATTTTGGAACGAGAGCTCGAACGTTATTGCCTAGAAAAATTTCTTCCATTTTCCGTTTATTGAATGCGGATTATGCTTGATCTTTCTCCTTTCTGAAGAATTGAGATGGAAAATGCTCATGTAATGTTTACTCTCTGCATTAAAGTACAGTGACCCCCGGGTGAACTGATCAAGAAAAATGTACAGTTGCATCGAGTAGCAAAAAGAAAAAGTTTTGTAATTGATGATTGGTGAATCTAGTTGAGGATTATTTGATAAGCATAATTGAGATCATTAGCATTACTCGCTTCAAAATTCAATAGGCAGTTGGAGCGGCTCTAGGTTTTGTGATGTCCGTTTGATCGGTGAAATCGGCGTCCGCTCACATCTGCATGTTATCTGTGTCCGTTTTTTAATCTAAATTTGATCAAATTTACTACTAAAAGTGAATCCAGTGAGTAAAGATACAATGTTAAGCCTTCTGAGGAATCCCCGAGATAGGAGAATGCTTGTAGAAGCAGGGAGACAGTTGAGGAGCTGATGGAAGAAATCTCTGGTGTTGACCTTGTAAAGTTGTAAAATAGCAAGAATTTTTTTCTTCTGTTGGTACTTTCTGAACTTTATTTTTTAGAGGTCTACTATGATAATTGCAGGAAACCTAGCAACTCTAGCCACGTTATTAATGGGTTGAAAAATAGAGTTCAGAAAAAGTAGGCCCTATCATAACCAGTGGCAGGATGTGCGTGCTCACAACTACGCTGGCTTCCACGCCAAGAGTGTGCTTGTGTGGTCAAGACAAAGAGGGCCAACACAATCGATTGAGTTTATTAATGGGTTAAAAAGCACCATAATCCAGGTCTACTCGCCTTCGGTTACTCTGTGGAACTAAAGTTAATAAATGATACATAGAAATATGTAACAAACTAAAGAAGCGAGAAAAATGCTTAAGAAGTTGAACTTTCCTTAAAATGCATTTAAAGAAAAATGAAAATCCCATTGAAATTTCAATTTTTTCTTTTTTAAATCCAATGGTCGTGCGTCTATGTGAGAAATCATGTATTCAGTATGCATTTCAGATGTTTAAGGTTTTCTCATGTCAAAATTTTAGAACCCAATAAACTGGAGAGCTCTTGGAAGCCGAAGAATTTGGTATAGTTTTAATACTACTAGTACACGATGGTATGCCTTTCATTACTGTCTGGCGTTTAACTATTTCGCCACTTCTTTCTCTCTGTTGTAGTGGTTATCGTGAAAGAATTTAGTTATTATTATTGCTTTAAATCTTAATTGGGTTCTGGGAGTCTCTGAAAAGTTCAACTGGAATGGATATCCTTGTGCATGAGTACAATATAGAATGTTTGTTGTAATTGAGGATTGAATTAACTGATACAGACTTTTTAGAACCATTGTTCAAATACACCTACCATGGTAAATATACATACTCATTTGTATTTTCCACCACCTTTGTCGCCTTGCTGTTATCATTAAGCCTTTTTTAATATAATCCCTTCCAATGAAAAAAGATGCAGGATGGAGTTGTATTTTTCTAGAGGCTATGTTATTGATCCATGTGCCAATGAACTAACAAACTTTGTATTGAAATCTTGTACAAATGAAACCATTGATGCCCATGGCTTTAAAGGCTAGTGATAATGTCGAACACGTTTGTCAAAGGATCATGCCACTACACCAAAACTCTGTAGTTGAAGTGAGAGTTAAGGGTTATAATTTTATAGTCAACCCTACCCCCATAGGTTGAGAGCCCTTTAGGGCAGAAGTTTGGACTCACATAATAGTATTAATCTTTTTTTTAATCCACTTAGAAATTTGTGCAAGCAAGATTTGAATATGGGCTGCTCTGATACTATCTTAAAGACCCTACCACTACATCAAAACTTCGAAGTTATAGTGAGGGTTGAGGGTTATAATTCTGTAGTCTAACACCATTAGCACTAGCATTCTTACATATGGCCATTACATCTATTTAGTCCCTCCATAACTAAATTTTGATAAATTCGTCTCTGGATACTGATTATGCATGTTTCTCATCAAGGTCCATATGTATGTCAGGATTTCATCCAAATCGTAGAGAACTAGTTACTGAATTTGTTATATTCTTTTCTCAAAGTTGTGGCTCACTAACTTTTTTATTGCTTGCAGTATAAGTAGATTAATTTCCTTGAAAGAACATTGGATATTATTATTCACTAAAAGTATTTGAGTCAACATCATAGTTGCAGCTTGCAACACGGAGAGTTTGCCACATATATCTGTGTGAATGGTTGTAAATGGCTCTTTCCTGATTAACAATTCTGCCTGATTCTGAGTGCTTGCATTCCAATATACATGCACCTGATGCTGTTCACAAGTAAAACACGTGTTCATGACTGTGAAGTTATACTGTAGTCTAGTAATATCACAAAAGGTATTCATTATTGCAAGTGAGATGGTGAAGTCTGGCTTCTTTCTCCTGTGTTGTTATGCATGCTTGCTGAGATAAAGGATAGTCATATGCATTCACTTTTGTATTCCCTTCTTTTTATGCTTTCTGAGACAAAATGATATCAAACTCTATTCAATAGTGCATCGACTTGTATTGAAGAACTATCCTTTAATCCTGATTCTGTGATTATTTTGTCAAAAAGAAAAAAAAATTGTTCTTTATTTGCTTGCCATTAAACATGAGATGGTCAATATGTTTTACCATCGGGCCAGTCATCTGACCAGTCCCATTTTCAGTGCAGTGTTCCCTGTTGATAATTTATCAAAGCCTGCAAAAATTTTTTTGAGGCACAAGCAAATTGTTGTTGAGATAAACTGAATTGTAACTAGAAAGCATAGTCACTTCCGGTTGAGTCGTTGCTCCACAAGTATCAAACAGTAATCGGATTTTGGTGAGTTTAACTTCTCCTGAATTGACATTTGCGATTGAACCCTGTTTGATAATGGAAACATGTCATAGAAACACTGGCATTGATTTTGTCGTCCTATATGGACATTCCTCATTTGACCATCAAAATTCAAAATTTTCTATTCTGCTACTAAGTAAATGGGTCTCGTTTAATGCAGATTGTAGATCCATTCCTCATTCAGGTCAGGGAAAGAAATAATACCATTTTTTGACATTATGTTATTAAGAAACAAAAGAAGCAAGTGCATACTGAAATTATCTCTTAAGGAGAACTAATAAGTTTACATGGACACAGCAACAGATAATCAAACATACATGTACTAAGCTTTTCTAATCAAAACAGAACAAAGTAACTTATGTAGGAATAATAATGCAACTATGTAACCAACTTGGAATACATCAGGTATATACCATGATTGAAGAAGTCACAAACTCACTCCTATCTGAACTACAGGGTGTCAGATTTCATGTATTTAGGACTCTTACATGGTCAACAGGCCATAGTTAGGAAAATGTGTGCATGCATTGAGCTTTATTTTGTGTTGATATAGTATATCTTTTCTGCTAGCTTTCTGTCTATTCTGTAGAAATCAATGGTGTTGCTGCCTGCCAATTGTCAGCTAGAATAATGTCAAATTCATGCATGACCTTTGCTAATTGTTGTGGAAACTACTGACCATACTATTTCTCATTATTAACCACTAATAACTTAATAAATTATCTGGTAGTGCAGTTATCACCAAAGGGGATCATATCATCTCTGTATTTTTATTTTTATTTTTATTGTAGGAATAAGGTGAGAAACTTTATTGTTTAATCAAAACTTACAAACATAACCTGGCATACTCAGGTACAAAACAAAACGACCTGAAAAACAACTTCCAACCAACCATAATCACTCACTTAATATACCTAACCTCAGAGTATCCTGTAAACCAAAACTGACACGAAAAACATTAAAAAAAATAAAAAAGAAACAGATCTATACAAGAAAAGAATATAGCTCTACATTCCCATTTTGAACTTGACATGTATAGAAAAGAATATAGCTCTACATTCCCATTTTGAGCTTGACATCATCAATAAACCTCTTGACAACAACCTGAGGAGGCTGAGCTTCACACCCGTAGAGTTCCTTTCTTGCCATTTATCTGTTCACAGCAGCTAAAAACAATCCTCTTCTGAAGCAACTAATTGGTTTTTTTCTCGTAACCATCTTCTGAAACCATTAATGAGCAATGGCCACTCTCTAATAGGAGTTCTCAAACCCATTTTTTGCAACAAAGCTAGAATCACCTCTTGAGAATAAGGATATTGAAAAAACAAATGATTTCTAGTCTCCTCACCGACGGAACAGAAAACAGATCTACTATCAAGTTGCAAACCAACCTTATCCAAAGCAACAAGCCATGCTATAAAAGAATGTTTAGACATGCCTCTTCTACCCCAAATATTTTTATACCACATCAGCTCATCATTATGCTCAGTGATAAACTTATTAGCACTCTTGATGGAAAAGTGTCCAGATTGAACATTTTTACATTTGATTACTTCATTCTCTTCAATAAAAGCTTCTTTAAACACGCCCCCTACATCAAGTAGAGATTTCCAAATCCATGATCCCCACTTTCCTTCAACATGACTCTTACATGTCTGGTTTAGACTGTCTTTGTAATCCTGTAATTTTAAGATGCCAAGAACCTTTGAGGATTTTATTGAATTTTGTTGTAAGAGAAAATGGGTAGATTTGAGCTATGTGGCACGGACACGGATCCGACACGGCCATCCGACACGCCGACATGAGGCAAATCCTAAAAAATACATAGGATACGTGTGTTCGACACGTGTGTCCGACACGGACACGACACGACACGGCTTCATGTTATGCGTGTCCGTGCTTCATAGGATTTGAGAAGTCCCAGTTGAAGGATTATCCAAAATATCATCATTGTCATAGGAGTTTTCCTTCATATGGATCTCTTTGAAGGTTTACCATCAAACAGTAGGCGGGATATTATCTAACTGTTAGGCTCATAAAACGAAATTCTTATCGATGCACTTGGAGATACCAATATTAAATGCCTTATCTTGAAAAGTTTCCGATTTTTGAAGCCTTAGAAGGTTTATAGGTTTCAGTGTATTAAATAATGCATGTGATTTTCCCCTCAAACAGTCAAGATTACTTCTCTTAATGTTTATATGCTAATTTTGGAAATAAGCATGCATGCATAACTAGCCAATGGTCACATAAAATCGCCTGAAAGAAACCATTGCTCTTATACAGTTTACACGTGCTAAGCTTCTTATGCTAATTTTGCTAATCGTTGGAAGCTTAAACCTTGTATTAGTAACACCTCTCTTTGTAGTGTTAAACAAGTTGTATGCTATATTGTACCATTCCTCCTTGCCCCTTTTGTCTTTCAAATTCTAAGTCTTTTGCTTGGCCTAGGGATGTTAATGATTCTAAATGGATATTGCGTACCCTCTGAGACACGATATTATACAAAAGTCAAATTGAATCTTATTGCGATCTTATACCACGATACTCAAATTCTTGAAGGAAAATAAAGAAATCCTGGAGACCCTCATTCACAATGTATTCAGAATTTTTTAAAATAATTTGTGAATTCCAACTTAAAAGATGTGTAATCTATCTTCCATTTCCCAACTTCAATCTGCTGCATGATTTGGATATTTTCTTTATCGCGAAAGTTTGATTAGAGGCGTCGTCATTACCAGCTTGGGAGGTTTCTAAGAAATCTCTGTTAAAAGGTCACTGTTAAAAGATCACTGAGTGTTTCAAAATTCTCCGTATAAATTTTTTAAATAATGTGAACAAAAGCTAAGACTTCGTTTGGATACCATGGTGTTTTCTTTGTTGTGTTTTTGCAAAAAAACATCATGGTGTTGTGTTTTCTCCTTAAAGTGTTTTCAAAACACCATGTTAAATGTCTTTGGTTAACACTAGTTTGACCCATTATAACAATATTAAACATATTATTAATATATTATATATATTAATTATAATAGAATATATTATAAATAAAATGGTATAATAATTATTATATATTTATTATAATATTATTAATATTAATTATAATATAATATAATATTGTATAATGTATTATAATATTATATTGTAATTTAATGAGTTATATTATATTATAATTAGAGATTAATGTGTATTCTTGTCAAGGAGGGGGTTTCTCTCTTCTTGACAATGATGTGGTACAATTCCTATAGTTGGAATAAATATACACTCTTGGCTGAATAATTGAAAACAAAAGCAGCAATACATACCTGAACAATGCCAGCATCGCACAAGTTCTTCAGCGCCATTAGGTACTTTGTCTCTCCAACGCGGTCTAGGTAACGCCGGCAACAGGCCAAAGTCGAAAAGTGTTTGTTAATTGTTCCAAGTAGTTGCTTAGCTCGAGGCAACCTTAATGGTACATGGCCAGCATCAAAGTTCTTCATGTAATGGCTGCACTCGAGGTCTTCTCTAACATATCCTTTGCCTACAAAATGAAACATGTAATAGCATTAATGAGTTTGAAGTCACATGATTCTCTTGGATGCATTGTCTTCGACATATTAACTTAGCTATGTAATTATTATAAGCTACATCTAGAGTAACAAGTTATACCACAAACACTACATTACATGGTTGAGCAGTCAATATACGGTATCCTTGCAAGGAGGGGGATTCCCTCCTTGACAATGATGTGGCACAATCCCCATCATGTGAAATTCTCTCTTCTACTTTATTCACATGGTGGGAATTGTGCTACATCATTGTCAATGAGGGAATCCCCTCCTTGACATAGGATACCCGTTAATCTCTAATTATATTTACTATATTATGTTATTATATTAACGTCTTCTCAAACTCAAAACCAAAGCACCAAAAAACACCTAAAAGATGTTTTAAAATAAGTATTGTGTTTTTGGTTTGAGGATAATTTAGCTTAAAAAACACCATTATTTCCAAATACATGGTGTTCTATTTTTGGCAAAAACACCATGAAAACAAGGAAAACACAATGTTATCCTAACGAAAACTTTTCTGCTTATCAGTTTCACACTTAGGAAAGAATGTGATGGTAGCTCATAATATTTATTATTGGGAAAATACTCAAATTTAGTTTATAAGGTGCCTTTATTTTCATGTTAATGAAAAACTCAGCATGTTGCAAAGAGTACACCACTGCAGAAGTGCCAAAAAATACATTATTCACTTCCATTTTCTATTTATTTCATTCCAAATACATAATGTTCTATTTTTGGCAAAAACACCATAAAAACAAGGAAAACACAATGTTATCCTAACGAAAACTTTTCTGCTTATCAGTTTCACACTCAGGAAAGAATGTGATGGTAGCTCATAATATTTATTATTGGGAAAATACTCAAATTTAGTTTATAAGGTGCCTTTATTTTCATGTTAATGAAAAACTCAGCATGTTGCAAAGAGTACACCACTGCAGAAGTGCCAAAAAATACATTATTCACTTCCATTTTCTATTTATTTCCAATCTTTACTTCATATGGTGCATCTAATATCTCATGTTATCCATGCTCATGGTGGTTCTTAAAACCTACATCTTGGGAAATCTCATGTTATCCATGCTCATGGTGGTTATTAAAATAATCATCTATCGGTCACACATAGGAAAGAACTAGATCTGTATCAAGGATATGTTCGTTTTCATCTCTTATATCAGTCAACAACAAAATAACAATTTCTTGCCATCTGAATTCTTGGCATAATTCAATAACTTATGTTATCTCGTGCAAATATATGGATGTGTGAGCTGTAAATCTGGTCTCATATAATCGTGTAAAAGGTTAAC